AATGATTTTTGTCTACGAATAAAATATTTAGCATTGATTTATTTGGTGTACGTACACGTTTTATAACAACAACAATGCGAGTTATATAAATATTAAAACTGATTTTAAAAAACAAATTTAATCATAAAAATACTTAATATTTAATATAATCATAAATATCTTAATATTTAATATAATCATAAATATTATTAATGTCATAAAATCGCGTCGATTAAGATGGGCAGGTCACGCGGCGCGTATGGATGAGAATCGAATTGCATATAAAGTACTAATTGGTAAACCGGATGGGAAGAGACCATTGGGTAGACCAAGACGTAGATGGGAAGAAAATATTAGAATGGACCTTAACGAAATGGGATACGAGGGTCACAAATGGAGGGATCTGGCTCAGGGACGGGTACAGTGGCGGGATTTGGTATTTGCGGCAATGAGCTTTCGAGTTCCTAACGCCTAATAATAATAATAATAATAACAAAGATGAAACAATTACAAGAGCACTGTGAGCATCAAATAAAACATAGCCCATAACAATAGCACACGTGTCTTTTCAAGTTTCCCTTTTTACAGAAGCCTTTCGGACAGTAAAACACATGACAAGATATTGCAGCTATTGCTAAAACATCTTGAAATTCTTACAATAAAATAAGTAATGCCAATCGACTAGATGACAAATGTCATGCTAAAATTTGCCTGGACATAAATATGTAATATTTGCGGCAATACTGACATAATAATAATGACATAATAATAATGACATAGTAATAATGAAAACAAAAATTAATCGATTTATCTGGAAAGGAGTGCATCAAGGATTTTGTGACTGGAAAAATATCAAAATGTGTAATGCACTAATAAAGGAGACTCTATAATAGAGAAAAAAAATAAGAAATCATTCGACAGAAATATTTCTTTCGACTTAGCATAATAACTTTCGAAAAAAATTAATAACAATGAGAAGCAATGATTAATGAAATGATGATGAAAGAAATACAATTTAATGTATATGTCGGTATATACAAAAAAAAAAGGAAGATTTTCTACTAAATAAAAAGATTTCCTAACAATATTGTAAACTTTATGTTAATGGTGGGATATTTTGTGACCATTCGTCTAATTTGGACTGCAAGATCTTATTATCCTGCGTGAGAGTATTCTTCGAATAATAATTAGTCGTGCCCAATACATCAATAGCGTAAACGTCCTGATTCTCGTGCAGGCGTTTCACGTGCTTGTAAGTATCGGAAGGATATCGCGATATATACATGCAGTAAGGACATCTGTAACGTGGTTCCTTGCCGTTGCAGGCGCTCATCACGTGCCGCTTCAGGTGAGACTTCTTTGCGTAATTGTTGGGACAGTTCAAACACTGATACGGTCTTACGTTCCAGGGACAGTAAGAATACCAGGGATATCCTGAAACATACAAACAACAGCACCATGTCCGATTTGCAAATATGAAAACATAAAAAGTTCGGTAGTCTTAATCATGTACAATACAAATTACAGAATTTCGATATATTGTGTACAAAAAATTTTGTATCACAGACACTTTGATATTTTTCATAAAAAAAGATGCTCATAAATTGATCGAAATATGTCAAAACTACGTAATGATGAAGGATGAGAATTTTAATATTTCCAGAAACATAGCATTAATCCATGCAATATTTTTTAACATCTCATATAAGACGATATTTGTTAATACCCCATATGAGAATTAAAAAATCAAATTTTTTTAATTTTAGTAGAATTATTATACACATACATGTTATGATAAGAGCATACGAATTGCACATAAATATCTACGGGACACAAAACAAAGAAAATACGTTTTTATCGCATGTCGTTACATCAATTTTTCGTCGAGTTATAACGTTTTGAAGATTTGGCGCGAGCGTTTGTGTGCGCGCATTCGTGCCACGTGTTACTATGATCAACTGATCAGCTGATCGTAGTATAGCCACGTGCTTCACCATAAGCAAAACGTCAAACACCTCAAGTTGCATCGACTTCACTCCTAGATGGAAGGAAAATCATAGCGGCCTTTCTTGGTCTCCTTTGAAATTTTGGCGCTTCTAATGAGAATAAGATTATTTATCTCAGATTAGTAATTTATGAAATAATTCTCATCGTTTGACTTAAAAAAAAATTTAATTTGTCCCAAAAATCGATACAAATCGGCATATTTTCAAATTGCGATATCTAAATTTGTCTCGGATAAATCATAGCTTTGCGAAACAAATTGCGTTAAAAAGAACAAAATTTTAATCTTTTTGTTATATAATTATAAAAAATTTATTTTTAGCACATGGCAAATTAAACTTAAATAATTAATTAAATTATTTTTTTTCTTAAATAAATCACTTCTGAAAAGTTTAATCCAATATACATAAAATATAGTTTTTTTCCGCACAGTTGCTGTTGAATTCCTATGTACATATATTTATGCAAGATGTCATTACATCTCGTAATAAGGTTAGAAAAAATATATATGTGGTATTGAGTGTATATAACAATATGACGTATTAATGATATAAGAAATAATATAGTTATAGATAAAATTCGATATAATTTGGCACTATCTAGCTTAATTGATTCAGATAGAACAATAGAAAATAGACATTACATGCATACAAATATACATAAAATTATTGTATGAAATTTTGCGCAGATATAATTATTCCGTAATTTTATATAAACTGCATATTTAAATTTATAAAAATAATAATGTATACGTAATCAAATAATAATTAATAAATTAAGTATTTATTGTGCCCCTAACAATTCTAAAGTAACACACAGAAAATATAAAGTTTTATTGTCACATATTTTAAATACAAAA